ATATATATATATATATATATATGTAGTATTCGAAACATAACACACATTTTTGAATAAATTGTATCTTACGTATACTTTCTACTCTTTTAAAGTAAAGTTATTTATCATAAATTATTGTTGCAAGTTACAATCTCAAATATTTCATCGTATTATCTTCATTAAAAAACTAAAAAATTTATTATATATACTGCATTATAATGAAAAATTTATCAATAAGTATTACATATTAATCATTTAATTATAATGCAACAAGAATGCATTTTGTATTAAAACATTGTCAAGATCAATGCATCTTGTATTAGGAGATCATGACAGTATCAATGTATATACTATAATGATATCGTATCATTAATGCATCTGTAACATAATATTATTATACAGTAGCATCTCTGTTTGTTGTATTAGGATACTATACTACTATGGAAACATTTTTCTTGTGAAACTGATAACTCTATAAATAATACAATAAAATATCATATCATATTTCAAAGAAAATAAAGCCCAAAATTTAATTATTTTCTCTTTCTAAATTTTATCGTCTTTTCCAATATATATATTATAATTTCAATTTTCTATATATATTTCAAACATTTATGTTTACATCGTATATATTTCATTGTATGTGTATATCAAATCTTTATTAATTTGAATTTAATATTTTATTTTATTTGATTTTTTCAATTTTAGAAAAAAATATGTCAATAACATTTATAACCTTTCATGAAAATCTTTCATAAAAACAAAGAAAACTTCATTTTAAATGCATCTATCGATAATAATAATATTGATTATTGTTTTGATTATTGAAAAAATTTTTTAATAATTAGTTTTAAAAAAAACTTTATTAATGAAATATAAGTAATTAATTTTTTTTCAAATTTTTGAAAATTTAAAATTAATAAAATAGATTAAAGAATATTATAGAATAGTATAGAAAATTAATAAAACTAGAAATATATTAATGATATAAATATATTATTATTACTATTATTATTATTATAAAAATATAAAAATACAGCTAAATTATAAATCTCTTCTAAAAATAGTTTATCAAATATAAATTAATTAGAATGAAATGTTGAAAGTCATTTAAATCTCAAAGACCTTTCTCGTATCTTATCATATACAAATTTTATTCAAAAAGAAAAAGAAAAATTAAAAATATTTATCATTTCTCTCATACAAAATCACATTAAAATAGAAAGAATTAAGAGCAACGAATTTCTATGGTTAATTAGTGAAATAGAGAGGAAATATTTCCAAAATTAGGTGTGAAAGTAGAGATCGTTACAAAAAGAAGAGGAAAAATGTAAATTAAATGTGACCAAATTTCCGTTAACAAGTCGGTACACGTGACTTTGGATATGAAACCACGATTGTTACGTGTAAGAAGTACTTAACGAAATTAAAGCGAAAGAACGTGGCTTGGCTTTGCGTGAGATATCCAACCGAGGCATTACGTTGCCTCACGTTGGCCACAATTGCGATCACACATCTCACGTCACGTGGGATTACATGCTGCAACATGCTGGTGAAATAGAAAGGGATAGTTTTGTATAGGTTAAAAAAAATCAAAAAAAAAAAAAAAAAAAGGAGAAAGCATTATCATCATATTGACTTACCAATTTCTTGAATTTAAATTAATACTATTTGATGTTAATAAATGTTATTTCGCGTATTTAGGAAATGGGAGAATGAACACATTACAGTATATCATTAGTTACAGTGGAATTTTTTTATAAATTTCTTGTAATAAAAAATAATGATATCATAAATAAGAAAATTAAAAAATTTATCAATCTTAACTGTTGCGATTAAATTTCATTAAATATATATAATAAATTTCATTAAATTTCATTTAAGCAATATTATACAATTGAATATTGTATCTCCAAAAATTGCAATTAATTTTCAACTTAATAAAAATTAAATAATTGATTTGCATTGATATCTCGATTAAACGTTTATTATTTAATTGTAAGAAAATATTAGTATTTTCTTAGAAATAAAAATAATAATAATAAATATATAGAATATTTTTATAATAAATAAATAGAAATCTGATCAAAATTGTATAAATTATATTTAAATGTAATTAAATAATAATAATATTAATAATGTTAAACAGTAGCAAGAACCTCGAATTTTTATTTATTTTGTAATTTTACTCTAAAAAACAAAATTAAATACAATCGAAATAAAAAACATTATTAAAAATGTGCATTTACAAAATTTCAATATACATGGATATATTATGCAAATTTTAAAATGGAAAATATTCAAATAGACAGATAAAAATAAATTCAGTAGAAATTTTTTATTTTGAATCGTTCGTGTCAGATAATATATATATATATATATATAATTATATAATTAAATCGCATAAATTTCTTAATATATCTATTTTGTTTTTATTTTGTTATATCTATTTATTAAATTAATGCATATAAAATTGTTTCTGCAAAATTGGAATTCATTAAATTTTGTCCTATTATATTCTCTAATTACATCAAAGAAGAAACTTGCTATAAGTGCTCCTGTGTATTTAATGTCGATAAAATTTATTAGAAAAATTATTATTTATGAATAATCAGAATATTCATGTAATTTTTTAAATGAATTCAAACAGAAGAAGTACAACATAGAAACATAAATTCATCATTTGAAAAGAGAAATATTCTATATTTCATCTAAATAATGAATGTAAAAATTGCTTAAAAAAAAATTATAAGAAATTTGAATAATTTTTGTATTCTAGAATTGATAATTCTCATAAATTTGGAATAATGAAATTAATTTATTATTGTGATTAAATCTCGGATTATTTTGACATATTAACTGTTCTTTTTAATTAGAAACGTTTTCACGGAAGCTGTGAAAAAATTTTTTAAAATTAAACTAGGAAAAAATTTATAATTAATATGTATGATTTTTATGTTACATTAAAACTATTTTTAAAATGTTCAAGATTTTTAATTTAAATTTATAAATATATATTTAAAAATTATAATAGATAAAAATAATATAGATTTAAATAAATTATTTATGATTAAAGTTTAGAAATAGAAAATGTCATTTCGTATGCATCAATCTAATAATAATACCAAGAATAAGGTTCAATTACAATTGTCTTATTTGAACTAACTCTGACGCGAACGATTTACCTCATGATATCGTACTAAGAAATTAACAGTATAATGTACACGTGTCTCCAAAGCAAGTGACTCAACACCAGCCAATGATTTAACACAGTGATAATAGATATTAATATCAATGTTTGATAGTTATGAGTTTAACATTATAATAAAAAAAAAAAAAAAAATAAAAGAAAAAAGAAAAAAATAAATAAGCAAATAGAAAAATGATTTCAATTATCGTTATTAGAAAACTATTGCAAAAAAAATATAAATCTCTTAGTCTTACGTAAGGATTATAAAATAACTCTATCTCTATTACAAAACATTGATTTAATAACACATAATTGTACATGCAAAATTCTTTCTTTTCTTGAAATTCTGTTTTGACAACCAATCATTCAACTAATTCAAAACATTCGTATATTTTTATGTTTTGTACAATTGTCTTGTATTAATAAAATTTCAAATATAAATTATCAATAAATTATTGATAAAATTATTAATTTTTTTGTATAATATGTGATTAACAATTTGATAATAAAACAAATGAAATTCATTTCCAGAATTTTATAAATTATAAAAAAAATTGATTGTTCCATATAAAGTTAGAAAATCTTCTATTTGTGCAATAGAAGTCTATAATCTATCTTGTGTCACTTATCAATTTATTGATATTATTAATTGGCAAATATTGTGTAAAATGAAATCCTTCAAAGTATGGAAGGGATAGATATTTACTATAAACGAGACACACGTGTACGTCCTTACATTGTACGCCCGTATAATATTTTCCCGCTCTGAATCGATAAATTGGCCTGTGACGAAACACCTCGTAACACGATCAACGACGTGACACAAAATCTGCAAGCTTTAACCAATCATCATATGGATTACACGTGTCCTGGCGCAAGAAACCCGTTTCGATGCATTCTTTTGTTGATTAAAAACATCACTAGTCTGATTGCACGTGTAAAGTTTTTAATTACGATATACTGTGACCATGTATTTCAAATACGCGATATAACGATTGTGATAGTTAATAATAAAAATGATTTACGAAATTTCTTTTAATTATTATTGATTAATATGTAATAATTTAATAAAATAAGAAATTATTAATTAAATATAGTATTTTTAAATTTTAAATTGTAATGGTTAATTTAAATGTTAAACAAATTATTAATTAAACAAATATATAAAGATATGAATTATTAAAATTATTACTGAAGTAATTTAATTTTGATTAAGTGAATTATTAGTATATTATAAAAATAAAAATAAAATATAATTTGAAAAATTGACGTATTTTTAAATTTTATTATAATTATATTCGTTATAGATTTAAAAATCCTTTAACAATATAATAATAGGTTTAATAAAAAAAAAAATAAAAATAATTCTACGTTTTGCAAAAATAATTTAAGAATAATTATTTTATGTAAAGATTTAAATGCTTCAAATAATAGAAAGAAACAAAAAATTTATGTTTAATTTAACTATATTTAAATATATTAAATTTCGCGATTTAAATATCAAAATTATATGAAATTTAATTTTTAACTAAACTCAATTTTAATATTATATCTATCAATTTATGATAATCTTGTTAATTGTTAATATTATTTACAAATTTTTAATAATTATAAAAACAGAAATTAGTCATATTAATTTTTGTAAAAATAATCTACATAATTATCTATAATGCAATTCATTATTTATAAATGAAAATAAAGAGATCCATATGACAATGAATCAAACATATATATATATAAATATATAAATCTTAATTTTTGCCAAAAGCACTTGCATTTTAATAATTACAAAAATAGAAATCTGAAAATATTCAAAATAATATTTAACATTAATAACTCGATAAATTTGTCAGAAACAATAAAATCTGTCGGACGTCTTTGATATCAAAACTTAGAAACTCGTTAAAACATGATTTATATACGAAAGTTGCATGTGCTGAAAATTGTAGTAAATACTGTATCATACACGATTTGACCCGACGCGACGTCACTAATGTTAAAAAAGAAAGTGAACGCAAAAAAGAGAATTGATAGAGCATGGATTGAAATTCTCGTTGACCTTCTCGTAAGTACCCATTCCAAGCCTCGTTGTACTCCACGTGTAAATGTCGTCCACGTGCGATCGCGCATATCAGCGCACGTTTTACAGTTTGGTCTAAAATAAGTACTTACTTAAATGAAATCAAACGTCCATTTTTCAGGATACTGGGGCCTACCGTGAGAGATCGAGACGACGCGCGTTTAAGTTTAGAGCAGAATCGTGTGCTTTGCTGATCGATTGCGCAATTAAACGAAGTGGTTGGCCCGATAGAAACGTACGATTATTCGATAAGCTTATCCATTTCTGAAATTTTCTTCGAAATTTTCTGAATTAACTAGAATTTTTCAATTAATAATAGATACTTTTCAATGATTCGTCTAGAAATCGGGAGAAATTTCAATAAAGAAAGATTAAAATTATTATATATTTTACAAATAATATATATATTATCGATACATGCCAAATGAATAATTATATTAAACGAAATTATATTAAAAATCAAGATTTAGAGTTTCAAATGGATTTTGTGATAATCAATAATATTTATTTGCGTTATTAAAATTTATATTCTTTTTTTAGTTAAAGTAAAAATAAAATTAAAAAAATTCTAATATTAAAATTAAATACTATTATTAAATTAAATTAAAATTAAATTTTTCTATTAATATCTATTACATAAAATATTTTTATATGAATTAGTGCTTATTATTATTTAAATTAAATTTGAATATTATAAATAAAATTATACAATTAAAAAAAAAAAGAAACATTATCTAAAAGTATTTAATTTGGAATATTATTGATTTATCAATGCATTATTATTTATTCTTATTTTACTA